CATATTCAGTAGTAAGATGACTCTCCTTGCACTATTTCTATTCTATTTTATTTGTATTACTTGCACTATTTTAATTATTTTGTCTGTTTTATTGTGTTGCACTGTTGGAGGAGCCTGTGACCTAAGATTTTCATTGACATATCTATACTGTAGCTATGTACGAATGACAATAAAAGCCTTGGATCTTGAATAAGTTGTGTTCCTTCCCTCCTTCCCTCACCTGTGCTGATGTACATGACGTGGTAGAGGGTGTCCATGCCCTGCACGATGTCCACCACCAGGTTGGAGAAGCGCACGTCGTCCTGCATGACGAGCGGGTCCACGGACTCCGGCTGCACCACGTCGTTCATCAGGTAGAGCCTCTGGGCGTCCTGCAGGCTGCGCTCCGTCAGACCCTCGTTGGGACCCTCGTCGTTTATAGTGCCGCACTGGGGAGGAAAAGTGTTAGAAAAATATCACTCAATATCATGTCCTTCACATGCTGATATACAAGAGAGGGAGTTACACAGTTCTTAGGTAATCATACATCCTGTCACATACAAAATACTGAGTTGTTGGCTTTGTTCTGAAATTCTCAAAATTCTGACTTTCTCTCAAAATCAAAAAAATTCTGACTTTTTCTCAATATTCTCAAAATCCAAAAATTCTGACTTTCTCTCAAAATCTCAAAATGTTGACTTTCTCTCGAAATTCTGACTTTCTCTCAAAATTCTGACTTTTTTCTCAAAATCCTGATTTTTTTCTCAAAATCTCAAAAATCTGACTTTTTTCTCAAAATCTCAAAATTCTGACGTTTTTCTCAAAACCTAAAAATTCAAAGTTTAGTTCAGATTAGCTCCACGTCAGAAATGATCATGCTCTATCTCCATAGAGGCTGAATCATCATGTTAATCACATAGCTATCATATGCCTAAAACAGTCCTGATGCTCTTCTAGGTAATCATACATCCTGTCATGTACACAGCTACAGTTGGGATACCTTTGTTATCATGTGTACTCTGATATTGGAAGAGTACATTCAGTATTTCCCCAACAGGAGGGAAACGGGGTGAGGTGTCAGAAGAGGTTGTAAAAATGTAGGCTGGAAAATAGAAACAATGGCGAAGTACCTCACAGTTACTGCATTTAGTAAATCAATACTCTGTCGGGTTAGATTTAGTTTTCCACTCTTAATTCTATTCTCAGTAATTGCAACTTTTTCTGGGGTGTGAAACTACTGAACAGTGTGACTGCGATGAGACACTAGAGAAGAATACAAATAAACGGCTCTGAAAGCTTTGTTCGGCTGCACAGATGAGCACTGCTTGTTCTTTAGGACTTCAAATGAGAGATTGATTTGTTAGTAGACTCAATTTTTGAAAAGTATAGCAATGATTTTTCAATTTTAAACGGTATCTTAAAGGTAACCTCAGTCCCGCTGTGCTGTGTAAGAAGTGAGCGAGCTCGAGCCACAAACTGGTTATACATTTAAGCTTGAAATTGTTATATAAATATATTTAAAAAAGGAATATGGACTGTTATCAACGAGAACTGGAGAGGAGACATTCCTGAGACTCAAATGTTCCTCTGTAGTTAGGGGGAAATTGATTGAGATTGAGGCTTGATTTGAATTTAATTGGCTTAATATCTTTTCGCAGAAACTGTAGTAATCACTATATTTTGCAAACATTCTTCCAGTTCTTTTTCAACAAGCGCCTGGACTGGACTGTGGACTTGTTTCTTGATTTTTTATAAAGAAATTGACCAATTGTTGGATCGTTTCTTACAGTTAAAGCAACGTCTTTGCAAAAATAAAATGGCTTTGTCACAGTTACTGCCTGTGCTGCAGCACCTCTTCTCACCCTCTGTCTGAAACCAGAGCCCAGTCTGCTCTGATTGGTTAGCTGGAGGATTGTTGACATTCACCTGGATCCATCTTCTTCTTATACAGTATATCGACACATGATCTTTTCTAGCATTTGGACTATCTATTTTTTTAAATGTATGTGTGTGAGAGAAACTCCCTCTGGAGGTAACACAGGGATTTTAGCCTTTGCAGACCATTTACATGCACACAAACCTATATGACACACTACAGGAAAAGGGAAAACCCATAAAGCACCTGGGCCGTCAAGATAAAAGGCCAACACCAACTGATACTCTTCTGTTGGACACGGCCGCGTCTTTGTTTCTGCACATTTTCCCATACAAACATTACTGATGACTGAGTCACACGTTTGCTTAGGTTTCTTTGAAGTCCTTTGGTTTTTGTGATATCATAAATAAATACGGTTTTTGTTACACTTAACTTGTCTGGTCTCCCATCTTTGTTGCAGCCTATGAGCCGGTGCCGTAACAAGGGCTCATTTAATTGGTCAAACTGACCTGGAAGTTGTGGATGGGGTTGGCGGTGGGCAGCCAGGTGGAGCGGGGGTTCTCCTGGGAGCGGAAAGGCCCGTTGAAGGCCTGCGAGATGGCGCTCAGGTTGAAGGCACACACCGCCGACGCTGCTATGCTGTTGCTTTAGTGACAAGGATAGGGGAGAAGATAGGGAGAGGAGGGGATAATGTGAAGGGATGTGGAGAGAGAGAGATAGGAAATACAAATGATTTCAACAATAATATTCATAACAGTTTAAAGTTGGCAGTAAATGTGCAGCTATATCAGGAACCAGCGGAGCCCAGCTGTGCAATGAAAGCCTTTTTGTAACGCGCTCCATCCTCTTAATGGAAGTCCTATCATTTCTACCTGCACTAAACAGGCGCTCGCTGGAGGCTAAGCTATGCTATCAGCGCTGCACAGTGGATGTGGACCAGCATTAAGCGGGGGATATGGGAGGCAGTCGCACAGATTACACACACACACACACACACACACACACACACACACACACACACACACACACACACACACACACACACACACACACACACACACACACACACACACACACACACACACACACACACACACACACACACACACACACACAGTGAAGTAAAGTTATTATCATGGCGCTCTTCTCGGCCATAATGTGCTGCAAGGTAATGACTTTCTTAACTGCCTGTTTTTTTTCCCTCTTTGCCTTCCCCTAACACCCAGAACCACACTATGACTTTTACTTTGCGCTGAACAGCCTGCTGCCTTAGCGTGGCTGCTGATAAACCATCAGATAGCGAGAGATAATAAACTGTAATAGTGAGAAAACAAGAAAGAAACTGAACGAGGATCAGTGAGAGAAGGAAATACTTCTGTATGACTTCATGATGTGAGCCGTCTTGGTGGAGTATAAATCAGACAGCGCTGCTACTCAAGTCAAGTTCATAGTGAGGCTTTAATGTGTTGTTAGTGTAAACTTATTTGTATATTTGATAGAATAAGTATTGGTATACCTCTTAGTATTATAGGCAAGATCTGAAGTAAGAACAGCACGTTTTATGTGAGTTAAGATCAGAACAAATGTATGTTCATTACTGACCTTTAAGAATAACAGATAGTGAAGATAATCTAAGAACAAAAGGTCAATTTACTAATTAATCAGAGCTTTATCTGATCTTGTGAAGAAATGGATTTCACAGGAACATCTACAACATGTGGGAACAAAGAGTTTTCATTATTTTCTTTGGATACTTCGCCTCTGGGTTCAATATCCTTATATATCTACCACTAAGATGCTTCTTAGTCCACTTAAGACATCTGTTTTTTTGTGTTTTAAAACCACCTTTTCAGTCCAATCCATTTCAGGCTTGTGAGAAAGCTAATGTGTTGTGTCATTACTGAAGGGAGGAAAAGTGCTGTGCAGCTTGAAATGGCTGAGAGAGAGCAAACAGGTGGCTCAATGACAGCCTCCAGACCTCAGAAAAACATAACTTTTCTCTCCTTTTTCTTTCAAAGGGTCGTCTGCAGACAGATGCGAGAGTCAGAGTGAGTGCGGTGGCAGAAACCAAACTCCTAAGTGCAGGAAACCACAGTAAAATCAGCTGTAATAAGTGAGCGGCAGCCACCACCGTGTCCACACTCACACACACTTTGAAAGGAAGTTGTACTGTGGCTTTGTGGTTGTGCTGCAGCTCGCATTAAAGTACCACAGAAAGCCTGACACTGCACACATTATTTCAGATCTCTGCTCTACATTAACTGAGTTGCAGACATAGATTTATTTATAAGATCTGTACACTGAAATCCAAGATGGCTTTTTTCTTTGGGGTAAACCAAAGTTCAAACTACTCTCCAAACTCTCTTACTGGACTAAAAGGGTTTTTGATAGATGGAACTGGTTTCTCTAAAATCCAATTTAAGTTTTGTGACATTTTCAGGGCTTTTTAGATTTGATAATGGGTGTGTATGGGACAGAATGATCGAAGCTAGAGCGAAAGGGGGCTTTAAAATCTTCTGAAAACACCTCGTAAACCTGCTCTAAATCCCATCATTTTCACACCACATTCACACATTTACACGATTACAGTCGCTAAATTTGTCTTTGTTGTGTTGATGTCTACAATACACCAAAGTAACTATCATATCTCGCCCATAGTGACCCTCAGGTGACAACAACAACAACTCCAGCTGACTAGCCCATAAACATCCATTTTAAAAATGAGACCAACAAACCCTGACACTTATGGCGCATTTCCACTACAGAGCCGAGCGCGGTTTAAGCGTGCCGTGCCCGGCCCGTTTTTGGTTGCGTTTCCACTCGGCGTAGTTCCAGCTAGCGGGTACTTTTTCTGGCCCTCCAAAATCGAGGTTCTTTCCGGGCCAACAACCGGGCTGAGTATGCTAAACTAGTGAGAGAATCGCTGGCAACTACAAAAAAATGAACATATTTGACCGTGATTTAATTGTAATACACGTTTCAAAATGATGCCGAAGTAACAACATACTGATACCGGTTAGTAAAAACCATGAATTAATGCTTTGACAAGTCTGCAGACAGACGGCAGGCGAAACACCTTTTAAAATGCGTGTTTTCTAAATGGAGATCGGCTAAGCTAACGCAGTATATGCTCCGACCGTCCACACTCACAACAACGGCCTATACAGACATAAATAAACCAGCGACTGTATTCGCCATGACACAGGCAGTCTGTGGTTTGTACTTGTTTAACTTGTGTCTAGTTTCTGATATGAGGAGCTGTGAGCTCTGAACAACAGCTGATGTTGGTTTTGTGGTTCGCATTGAAGATGACGTCACGGCTCCACCTACACTGCGTTACTATAGATACTACCCCAGCTACTAAACTGTAATGGAAACGCAGCATAAAGTGAGACTGGCCTAACAAGGCCTAACGAGGCCTAGCCATACCGAGCGAGGCCGAGCGAGGCCCTGCAGTGGAAAAGCGCCATTAGAAAACAGCCGCCACGGCCACATTTTACTCACTAAACACACAGAAATCACTCAAATGGTTGATCAGGGAACTCAGATTCTCACGCCGAAAAATGTTATCTCAACTAGTTATGGTTTCTGAAGAGGAGCCAAAACTGTCGGGATGAACTCAGAATGAGACTCACTCATCAATAACTACTTAACGTTGGCAATATTGGCATCAGGATCGATAACCGCCAGTATATAAAGCGCCAGTCACACAGATAAGGGAATTTTCTAGTTAGTCAGTGACAAGGTATTATATCATTCATTGCAACTTTTTAAATGTCATACAAATACTGGTTTTAGACCGCTCAAAAACGTATTATGCTCCATTAACAAAGTGCTATAACCCTAATTGTTAAACACATTTTACAGATTGTTTTGTAATTATTACCAAAAATCTATTAAAGTCCCAAAAATGTATGTGATTGATTTTTAATAAGTAAATTCTAACAAGAGTTAAATTACGTCTCAATTTTATAAATGCCATTTATAGTGAAGGCAATTATAAAGTGATACGGAAAAACCTGATAAATGACAGTTTCACAGATGTCTCTTTTATAATGATGGTGCAATATGCATGTCAAAACAAGCATCATGGTTAAGCTACAGCCCCTTATCCAGCTCTTCTTATTATTACATCCGTGTTTTGCAGCACAGAGCAACAAGAGAACAGAGAGAAGTGGAGCACTGGAAGAAATACAGTCCATCGCACTAATGGATGCAACCCAGATGCTTTGAGTCAGCTTAAAAGCCCTGGAAGTGATTGAGAAGCTGTTTGACATCTGCTCTGCTGTTTGCTGCTGCTCTCATGATCACTTTCATTACGACTGACGCTCCTTCACCCATGATTCATCTCATCCCAACAGCCCACCCCGTCGCTGGGAGTCTGCTGAGATGCTGCTTGATTTCCTGTCTTGTTTTAAACAATTCATCGCCGTTCAAATCCATTTCATCGACTTCTGATATCCTCTGCTGTCATCCCCATCCAGGAACAACAATAAAAAGCTGCTGAATGCAACAGGAATAATAATCCTGCAATATATATCTTTTTATAAAACGGACAAGTCAAATCAAGCAATCTGATTGGTTCTTAGCCGTGATATAATGAGCGTATATCACGGGTAGAATTGTAGTTACTTTTCACAACAAGTCAGTATCCCTCCACGTCTGAGAAAAGCTACAACCGTTACAACTGTTACATTACGTCCGTTACGAAACTGACTAACTAACAACGTTTAAGATGGTCGGGTCGAACCACGCCCCTTAGCTGTGATATAACGAGCATATTGCTTAAATATAGCACTTTGAGTACATTCTTTTTGAGTTTTTAACAATGTGGTTTTCTTAGTTTGACTGAAAACTATACAGCTGGTGATTTTCTATATTTTCTTTTGTGATAAAATCCAATAAAAAATAAAAAATAACAATGAACTGATCCGACAAACTGTTTTTGTGTGTGTATGCAAGCCTGATATATTGTATCCCCTCTGTGCCATAGAGCTCATTTAATTGTTCAGACTCTATTTAAACACACCAGTGAGCCTCAGTGTTGCACCGAGTGACATGTTTCATTATTATCAGAAACACACTGTAGTTTATTTTGAGTTATACCCCGGAAAAACTCACCAGAGCACCAAATGATGAATAATCCACAGCTGAAAATAGTCTCTTACAAATCCACTGTTTACTGCTGTTTGAGTTCAACGAAATATTGGAGTACTCAGATGTTTCGGGAAATGAAAAAGGAACATTTTGGAGCTTTCTTTCTCTTAGTAGTGTGTTGTGTTTGTGTGCATGTAAATGGTCTGCAAAGGCTTAAATCCCTCCAGCGGTAGTTTCTCCTTTCATGAGATGTGTAGCAAGTAAATGACTTGAATACTTTATATATCACTGAGCCACAATCTGTACGGATCAGAACACCAGGGGGTGTGTGAGGTAAACACAACTGATATGCATCTCAGTCTAAAGCCTTATCTTTATACGCTGGATGTTGTTGGAGTTGTTGTTGAACGTTTTAAATAAGATCCCTGAGATGTTGCTGAGATTTCTCCTTTTTCTTTTCTCTTGGTTGTTTTGACTACATGATCCGTCATAATATGCCTTTGTTATCCAGTGGCTTTATGTCTCAGTGCGGTCATTCTAAAGGATTG